AGGTTCCCTATGGAATTATAGCTTCTGGTCAACAAGTAACTTAGCTTTCTGCTACTGTAACACACATCTGATAAAAATCATCTTGGAAAGAAAAAAAAGGTTTATTTGGGTTCACAATTGGAAGTTTTGGAAGTTCTAGTCCACGATAAACTAGTCTATTGTTTTGATGCTTTGTGCAAATGTATGTCACAGCCAAACTTCTCACCTCAACAGAGAGCAAAGAGAAAAAGGAGAGACTGGGGTTCCCTTTGAAGGCGCATCCCCGATGACCTACATACTAGAGCCTTTTGCTTAAATATTCCATTATCTCCCAACAGTGTCAAAATGGAGGCCAAGCCTTTACTTTGTGGGCCTTTAGAAGAAGTCTATAGAATGCACCCCTCTTAAGGCCAAGACAAAAAGTTCCAAGTTCATTAAGTTAGAAGTGGTAATCCATCAGATTCCACAAGTTTGAAAATAAGAACCTGTGTGCGTGGCCCAGCAACCAGATGATAGCTGTCGGAAAGGGTGAAGAACATTTAGGAGTGGTCCTTGCTCAGAGGAGTCACATTGGTAGGAGGCATGTTCCTGATTTTTCAGGGAGAGCTCAGGGAAATCTTTTGCCTAAAGTCAAACAGCTAATGACTCAGTCAGGACACAGATCTAAGTCTTTCTGTTTCAGATATTTCGTGTGGGTTTCCTGGCATCCGTTGGCAACTGTTTCCTGGACTTCTGATGTTGTTTAGATGTCCCAGAAAAGTTTGCTAGGTATTAAAATCCTTGAAGCTCCTGCTGTCCAGAGAGACAGAAGCAAGTATGGGATCCTATGGCAGGTGGCTGGCTAAGCCTCCATGTCTGGGAACCACAGGCTTGGCAGAGGATGCTAACTACGAAAGGTCTTCTCTTGGGCTCTTCTGAAGCTTTTTGTTCAGCAGGATCCACACACGCATGGTGCCTAGAAGTGGACACCATCAGACATCGAGTGCCCAGAAGCCCTTGGACACTAGCTAGTCACCCCCACTCAAGTTGTGACACTCAGCATTAACATGGATGGAGTCCAAGGACCAATGTGTCAGAGCCAAAGTAAAGACTTGTGAGTCCAAACTTCTGAGACGACTTCTGACAGATGAGCATCTTCAGGGATGAATTCCAAGCTGTCAGGTTGTGTGTGTACCACAGCATCCTATCCTCACTGGGCCTGCACTCCTGACAACTTAATTGTATAGTGGGAGGATACAGGAGTCCTCTGGGAAGGAAAGGGAACTTTTCCCCAAGGCCAATGCTAATGACAGGAGCACCCTGCCAAGAACTAGTTAGTTGGCCTGTGTCACCACATATATTCCTTGTCTTCTTATGTGAAAATAATAGAGAACAAGGCTTAGTTGGAGTAACTTTTGAGATAAGCCAATATCTCCATGGTGATTACCTGAGATATGACTGGCAGAATTTACATCACAGGTAATGTCTCACCACATTTGCTGTCTGTAACTCTATCTTAAAACCTATCCACATAGCCCTGGGGTGACAAATGGAGTATGCCCAAGAACACAGAACCCATTTTGTCCATGTGATGAGACTCTTGTGGAGTGCCGCTCTGGTATTGGCTCACCTCCAACTCTGAGGGACGCTTGTCACTGACTCACCTCTGGAGTGCTTGTGAATATGTGACAGGCATTTCTTCTTTCTCTGAATGTTCATGGAACTTTTCAGAAATGGAACATCTTTCCAGAGTGACAAGCCACATCCTGGATAATGCAGGCAGTTGAAGAACTTGTAAACATACCCTCCTCCATCCAAAAAATTCCTTAAAGGAGAAGCTGGGATCGAGAACTGGGACACATGTTGCCAGTAATGCATGGGCCCTATGCTGTTGGCCATTGGATGTCCTATTCACTGCACACTAGATGAAAGGTCCCCTTGTTGGCACACTTTCTCACCAGATTAGGCTTGTTCTTTCTCTATCCTCCCTTTGATTATGGGGGTCCTGGTCATCGGCAATTCTCTGAGAATGGAGGATGGTAGGGATATCAGAATTTAAAGTCAAGAGAGAACCAAGGCAGCTGGAAATGGCATGTCTGCAGGAGATGTGTGTCCCAACAGGGACAGAGGACTGAAAGAGTGTCTCAAACTAAGTGAGGCAGGCAGAGGAGAGCCCAGAAAATGAAGTGGGGGTCAGGGGAGTAGAGGGAATTATAGTGTGCATTTGTTTCCTGGGGTTGCAGTAACAGGCAACAACAAATTTGGTGACAAATATTTAAGACAACAGATATTTATCTCCCACAGTCCTGGAGGGAGATCAAGCTGTTCGATGATGCACACATCCTTCTGAGGCTTTTAGGGAAGAATAGTCCCTTGCTTCTTTAGCTTTGAGTGATGGTCAGCATTTCCAGGCATGTGGCTGCATCTGCTTGTGTCTTCACCTTCTTTTGCTGGCATCTTTATACAGACATGGTTACTGACTTTAGGTCCTATGTTGTCATCCACACATGTAACTGTAACTTGGCTTTACTTAAAGTTCTGCTTGCAAGTAAGTTTTGGGTTCTAATAGACACTAGTTATAGGGTCTTAAAATAAGGACTTAAAAATCTAGATATAGACATAGTTCTTGAACATACATCATTTAAGTCATTAGAGGGTGAGAGAAATTCTAAGGAGAGTGAAACAAGTCATAAGGTGAGAGCAGGTGGCCTTTTCTTTGGAACTTGTCAAGCTCCATGTATTCATTTACTTGCCATCATTTGAGGCTGAATGGAGTTCACTTGGGCCTCGTCTACACTGCAGCTTTCTCTGCGTTTACAGATCTGTACAGAAAACTTCGAGGCTCATGCCCACCTTTCTCACCCAACTGCACAGAGTACATGGCTCACACAAGGCACCACCCACCACTAGTATATTTTATGGAGCTCAGCATTCCTCCTACATAAACCCCCTTTCCACTTATCTACTTTCAAATTTCCTGAATCCCACCAAGGTTCTGACTTTCTCTTTGTTCTCCTAATTCAACTCCTCCACTTTGTTATGCAAGGCAATTTAATTTTTTTCTCTTTCCATTTACTCTGCCCCAGGCTAACCTTTGTATAGCCAAAGACTCATTAATGACTGCATAAAACAAAACAACATTTATGCAAGATGCAAGGCAGAATCACTGGTATGGATTTTGTTCTCTCTCTCTCCTCCTCCTCCTTCTCCTTTTACTCAAGCTGTATCATTGCATCATTCTTCAGGAATGATGAAGAGCTATACTCTGGATGTCAAATAATTTTTTTTTACTTCTTTTCTGTTAAAAGAATATTTCCTTGACATGTATTTCTTTTAAACATGTCTTTAATACTGTGGTTCTCAAACATTTGATTTAAGAAAGCTTTTACATTCCTAGAAAATTATGCAGGGCCTTAAATAATTGTTGCTTGCTTGGATTTTATCTATTGATAGTTACTATATTAGAAATCGATTGGGAAACTTAGAAATATTTATCCACCTAAAGTAATCAGGGTACATCTATTACATATTAACATAAACATCTTCATAGGGAAAATAGTTTTCAAAACAATAAAAGACTCTGTTAGAAGAACTGGCACGTGCATCTTTGCAATTCTCTTTTAAGTCTGGCTTAATGGAAGACAGCTGCTCTGCATTTAGCCTCTTGAAGATCAGTGTCTTTTGGAAAACTCAACCATACAGCTGATTAGAACATGCAAGTGTAAGGGCAAATATGATCCTGGAATTATTATGAAACTAGCTTTTCATCTTGATGACTGTTAAAAGCCCAATTTTAGCACACATCATAGTGTGCTTCCTTTTATAAGGAAAACAAAACCCAGAATAGTTGATACTGATTTAAAACTAAACCATGGGGGGTCACACTCCTGGACAAGAAACTACAGGCAACTGTGGCTGCTGAGAGAGGGAGAGTTAGCCTAACACAGGGAAGACCCCTCTAATTGGTTGTCCAATACATGATTATCCCTGAAACCATATACACATAAACAATAATAAGAGTTTCAGCAGATTGTGCTTGCATATCCATGGATACTTACACATATATGCAACAATAATAATTAAGGAAGAAGAGTCTATCAATTTCAGACTGAGTTGGGAGACATGGAAGAGATTGGAAGGAGAGGATTTGAGGAGGCTGGAGAAAAGGGGAGGAGGGAAAGTGGCATCATTGTATTTTTAATGAAAGTTGTACACAAAAATAAAATGAACCATGAACCAAGTAGTCAGAAAAATTTTACGAGCTGACTTTAGTTAAATTAAGTAACTCCTTTTCTCCATCCCCTTCTTTCGCTGGGATATCTATGATTCAAGAGCACTTTTCAAAACTACTTATTGAGGAGGAACATAACATAGTATCACCAAGCTCAGTATGCTTCACTTTTGTCGGGCTCTGATAAGTTCCTGCTCTCCCCATCCCCGCTCAGGGATCTCTGCTCTAAGCCTCTTCTACATTATAAGTAAGAAGACTGAGGATTATCATATTATCAACAATGGCAACACCTACTGGCTGCATGCTAAGAGTTAAACTGCATGATAACTTTTTTTTTTTTTTTCAAATTCTGTTTAATTCTCTGTGCATTCCAAGGAAGGCGCTGGATTCACTTTACCGAATTGGCTGAAGGTTGAAGAAGAAACCTCTGTACATGTAACCTTTCCTAGCTCCTGCACCCAGATGGTCATAGTTCATTGCTGCTCAAGAGGATGACAAAGGTCAAAGGTGTTACACTCCCCACCTGTCAACCAAACCGCCCGCCTGTCTTCTAAAGAATCATAAGGGGGCGATCTTTCTAGCTTCCTGATGCTTTTGTTCCTGAAGCCCAGTTTTAGAAACACTGGGAAATTTCCAAGAGTCTGATCCCGCTGAGGTTTGCAGCGAGGAGAAAGAAGGACCGAAGCTTTGCGGGTAGCTGTCTGGAACGGAGATTCCAGGCTCTGGGCTGAGGCCGGAACCTTTCTTCACACGCCACGTTACACGGGCGGAGAGCGGAACCTTTCTTCCGTGCTCAGAGTTTCCAGACGGAGGCGTGCGAAATCGGAACGTCCCTCAGCGGCCGAGTTCTTGCCGGGGTCGCTTGCTGCTGACGTGTGCCTGACCGGCTTCAGGCCGAGGTGCAGGTCGCTATGGCGGTGGACATCACACTGCTCTTCCGAGCTAGCGTCAAAACAGTGAAGACTCGGAATAAGGCTCTGGGAGTGGCCGTGGGTGGTGGGGCCGATGGCAGCCGGGATGAACTGTTCCGCAGAAGTCCTCGGCCCAAGGGAGACTTCTCCAGCCGGGCCCGTGAAGTGGTAAGCTGGTTGCTATAGGAACGGCGGGCGGGAGATAGGGGCGGATCCCTACCGCGGACCCTGGACCCCAAACTAGGACCTGCCTCATTAGCTCTCAGTGAAGAGAGGGAGTCTCTAGCAAGACAGAAGAGACTGTCTCACGGAGCCAGCAGCTGGCTTGGGGTGGCGACAGGTTTATTCGCACGAAGAGGGACACGTATGCGGGCACTGAAGGAAGCAAGTTTTGAAGAGGTGCTTGGATATTCTTGGAATCAGGCTAACCTTTAGAGGCAGTGAATTCGCCATCACGTCACTGCTGACTTGAGTGCCTTGGACGAGTTGCCAGAGTCTTAACGCTTCCTGTCGCAAAGTTCACCACTCTGACTCTTCGCCCTTTCATGTATTTGTTTGAACCGCCTCTTTCTTGCACATAGGGTTTAATAAAATCCACGCTCAGCTGAATTCTACTTGATCTTTGCCTCCAGTAATAGGTACCTCCTGAGACTGGTTTAGGATATCACCTACCTAGTGTAGGGTAAAAGGTAGCAGAAGATTTCTCCTTCAGAGCTGCAACACTTAACCAACATCTAGTGTTGTAACTATCCTCTAAACTGCTTTCTGTTCTCTGGCCACAAACAGCTTCCGTGTCTCCAACATAGGAACCTTTTCCATAAGGGTAGGAATATGTTGACGTTATTTCTGTATGTGTGACTAACAGTATTGCTTAGTAAATATTACTTGAATGAATGAATGAATGAATGAACAGATATTTTTTCCTCTAAACAGGAAAAAAAGATTGTTTGCATTATATCCCTTTGTATCTATGACACTAAGGGTAGATGTTATTTTTGTAGTACCAGGTGGCATATACAGTCTGTTTATCCTTTTAAAGAAACACACACACACACACACACACACACACAGGTCCAAAGTATTGAAATGTACAAGGTCAGGGAGACCTAAACTTTTAGGCTTCATTGGTTTTCCAGTAAGCTCACCTCTGCTTGGCACATAATCCATTGCTTGATACTTCTCTTTTTGCTCTTTTTGAGACAGAGTCTTTCCATATAGACCAGGCTGGCCTTGGATTCACAGAAAGGTGGCTGCTTCTGTTTCCCAAGTGCTGAGATTAAAGGCATGGGGCCCCATATCAGATGATACTCAAATATTGTGTGTGTGTGTGTGTGTGTGTATATATATATATATATATATATATATATATATATATATATGCTGTTTACAGATAATGTCTAAGTATAGAAAGTGGTATGGACCAGATAAATGCCCCGCCCTCCAACAATAAGCATCTACTTAGTGCTTACCTTCCAACCAGCATTGTTTAGAGTAATAGGAGTCTACTGTTGAGTTATAGAATTACTGTGGTGGAGGAGATACAAATATAAACAATCCCCCTGCCGTGAGTCCTGCAGGTGTTCTGTAGGGCACAAGGGAAACAGTGGTTAGTTCCACTTGGGAGAAAGGCTTCATGGAACAATGATCTCAAAAACCCATTCTAAAATAAGAGTAGTTGGTTTCATTGCTGATAAGGCCAGGAAAGGCATCACAGCTAAAACGACAGCATGTTGGCCATACTCCTGGATGGCCACACACCCAGGAATACATGGACAGTGCAATTAGACTTGATGGGCTTTAGAAAAAATGTGTGTGTGGGGGGGGAAGAAGGGAACATGAAGGTAGGGGAGGTAAAGAGGTGGAAGTGGATTTGAGAGGAGTTAGAGGGGGAATGGTGGTAAATATGATCAGAACACATATGGAATTCCTAGTGAATTAAGAAAATACCTTTTTTTAGAAAAGAGACCAACATGCATAAAGGCATGAGATAGTACCATCTTAACTTAAGTTTGGTTTGATTAACCTAAGAATATGGGACACACACACAAAAAAAAAGAGTGGTATGGTAGCCAGAGGGAAACTAGAAGGACCTTGCAGATCACTCTGCAGAGAATGACCTTGCCTTCTAGACCAGTGTTTCTCAATTTTCCTAATGCTGTGATTCTTTTTTTTCTTTTCTTTCTTTCTTTCTTTTTTTTTTTTTTATGATTTTTCGAGACAGGGTTTCTCTGTATAGCCCTGGCTGTCCTGGAACTCACTCTGTAGACCAGGCTGGCCTCGAACTCAGAAATCCACCTGCCTCTGCCTCCCAAGTGCTGGGATTAAGCTGTGATCCTTTAATATAGTTCCTCATGTTGTAGTGACCCCCCCACCATCATAAAATTATTTTCATTGAGACTGCATAAATATAATTTTGCTGCTGTTATGAGTTATAATGTAAATATCTGATGCTCAGGATATCTAGATGTGACCCCTGTGGAAGGTCCATTTAACCCCCCCCCCAAAGGGGTCACAGCATACAATTTGAGAACCACTGCTCTAAACAGTCCAATATTATGTAGACAGTGAATCCCTGAAGAAGACCCAGGAGACCTCATGTTGTCTTATCCATGTTAGCAATTAGCCAGACTCATGCTATTAGGCAAGGTTTATTTACCTATAAAATGGTTCATCTTTATCCAAAACAGATTTTAAAACTCCAATGGATCCATCATATATCTCATATATAACATGTCTTATCATACCATGTATCATGTTGAAGGAGGCATGTCTCAGATTGAAGACGATGGGGAAATAAGGTGTCATCATAGCTTTATTCTGAGACTGGCCAAGCTGTTGCCACAGTGTGTGGATGTCACAGTTTTGGTGTGTGGAGGCCCTTCCTGGGTGGATTATTAATGCTGCACAGTTTTTCAGTCCTCAGGAATAGAGGATTTGGGAACAGTAGAGTTAAGATGCACAGTCCAGCTAGCAGCCCTGTGAGGAGAGAGCCCATAGTCAATTGGGCTATTCTGCAAGTGCTGAAAATGCGTTTTTGACTGTTTTCTTTTAAGGCCTCACAGATGAAGATCCTTGGAAGGTTCAGGAAGCCCCAATACTGGAAAGACAAATGGCACTTCTGAGTTAAAGGTGCAATATCAGCAATGGCAAACACGTGGAACCTGTTCTTCTCACATGCTGCCGCTGATCACAGAAGCCAGCACTTATTTCCCAGTAGATTCTGTAGCTCAGAACCCCTCAACTCTGTCCCCTAAGTACCATTACCAACTATTGAGCTTGACCTTAAGTTGAAATCTACTTGATATTCTACTGGGCAATTGGTTAAAAATCAATTGTATACCTAATCAGAACCATAGACTTTTCAGAATGTACTTTTAAAGGTCCTGTAATTCCTCTTGTTCAGACTAATCATTTTAATAGATGGGAAGACTTAAAGCTCAGACAAGGGCAGTGACTGGCCCCATGTCTTTGCAGCTGTGGTCATGAACTAGAGCCAGAGGTAGAAGTGTTTTTATTCCTCTGTTCTTGTATCTTAAGTATCCACTTAAATTTTAAAAAAGATTCATTTTTATTTATGTATGCATTGCATATGCCTGTGTGTGTGTGTGACTGTGTGCCATGTATGTGTGGGTGCCCTCAGGAGGCCAGAAGAGGACATCAGAGTCTCTGCACTAGAGTTACAGGTGCTTGTAAGCCGACTGACATGGGTGCTGGGAGCTGAACTCAGATGTCTGGAGGAGCAGTAAGCACTTCTAATTACTAAACCATTGCTTGCCCCTACTCAATAATTTTGAACGAAGTTGTTGGACTTCCCAATGTTAAAAGCTTTCTTCTTGAGTTCATAGTGCCTGGGACTTGGAGCAGAAAGGCTTGGGTTTAAATCTCTTTCTGGCTTTGTGAAGTCAGGAAGTTACTTAACCTCTGTTATCTTTATTTTCTAAGAATGATAGCCACTTTAGAACATCACGTGATTGAGGAAACGAGAAATGGTATGCAAGTGCCTACGAGTCTGAATTCTTTGGTTACAAGTAATAGTTACTTTTGAACCACCCACAACAAAATATGTGTGGTGGCTCACATAATTAATGGCTTGATGTGTCTCTCTGTAGCTCCCATCCATAAAACCCCAGGAATGGGCCTGATCCTGCTTGGACCTCAAAACCTTTGTTGTGGTCTTAGGAATAAGGTTCTTAATTGGCTAGGTCATATGTCTGCTCCAATCTGTGGCCAGTGTGACCTTAAGAGGGGAGTGCTGTGTCCAGGAGTTGGAGCAAAGGGTGATAGACAAATAATTTCTCATGGTGCCTAACAGGTCTGATATCACCAAGCACATTGGATATCCATCCATTACTTATCTATTAGGATAGATGCTTCCACCTTACCTGCTTGTTGTCTTGAATGACGTTGGGAATGGGCTGGGCCTGACGATGGCATATGGAGGCAGCTACTCTTCCTCACTTAATTTATGGAGGTTTCAGACCAAAGGAACTACCACACAGGTACCTGGAGCCCAGTGAGCAGCTGAGCTGCATGTCCAGAGCAGAGGGGCTTCTGAATAGCTAGGAACAGGAAGCCAGGAAACCTTGGTTAGTGCTAGGTTTGCCAGGAAGTCACTACCTCTCAGGCCCAGTTACCACATTTAACAAGACTGAGAACTTAGACTAGATAGTCATGGAGCATAAATCACAGATGTTCTGATGATTCCAAGTCAGAGTTGGCAAATAGTGACATTTTGTTTTTTATTATATCTTGATTTGATGAAAGTTGAATTTATTTGTTGGTATATTGTTCATCAATCTATTCTTAGGAATTCATTAGCTTCAATTCTTGGCTGAAATCCAAAGTTCTTTTAAAAATATTTATTTTACTAAGAGTGTATAGGATGTGTGTGTGTTTGTGTGTTTGTGTGTGTGTGTGTGTCTATGTGTGTGTCTGTGTGTGTGTTTGTGTGTGTGTCTGTGTGTCTAAGGAGGCCAGAAGTGGGTGTGAGATCCCCAGAACTGGAATTACAGGTGGTTGTGAGCTGCCTGATGTGGATGCTGGAAACCAAACTCAGGTCGTCTGAGAGAACAGTAAGTACCTTTAACTGCCAGGCCATCTCTTTGCCCCCAAAATTTCATAGAGTGGCTCTGTGCCAGGTGACAGCCTCAGGCCTCACCTCTCTCTGT